GTAAACAATACTATGTATATATGATAGTAACTGGGAACACTCACAATTTAGAGAGCCATATAAGTCGGCTCTCTACTTGTAAAAACTCGTCAAATAATTCCAGGCAGAGCTATATACCAGCTGGTCTCACCAAGTGCAGATAAGAAGTATCGTCTGGATACAGTCAGGAACTGTTTTGCAGGTGTGATATTCAGTAGGTGTAGCAAAGCTCTGCCTGGAATTATTTGACGAGTTTTTACAAGTAGAGAGCCGACTTATATGGCTCTCTAAATTGTGAGTGTTCCCAGTTACTATCATATATACATAGTATTGTTTACATATTACCCTATGATAGCTATTTATATTACAGATTATCACATTTTCCAACGTGTGCGCAAAACTTCCTCTTTTTATCCAATTTTGTACATGTAAGTGTTTTGTAAGGTGACTGCAACACTGGTTTGTTTTTTGCTGCACTGGGATTTATACATATAACTACTTAGCGCCATTTCACCTCTTTTTTTCGTGTTTCCCCATTAATTTTTGCCTAGGTGAGGTATTTTTAAATAAAACTATTACATTCTGTAAAACTTCGAATTGCTTTTTAGTGAATAAGCTAGAGTGCTGGATATTGTATGTGTTTTAAATATATATTTTAAAAAATATGAAGAATTAGGCTGCACTCACAGGACTCACAAAATGAACTTTAGTGCTTTAATATAACTCAAATATCCAGTTGCTGTGTACAAAAAGTCAATGTCTCGACCCAATTCGGGTCTTTTTCAAGACCACAGTGCAGGTGACACAAAGGTGAATTTATAAGAAAAACTTACCCAAATACACTTACCAGCTAAGTGCTATTACAGCCAACCGACTGATTTCACCTGTCTAAATCTGTGTTAGTGAGTACTTCTCCTTTGCAGAGATAATCCATCCATCTCATCGGTGTGGCACTTTTAAATGCTGATTAGACAGCATGATTATTGCACAGGTGTTCCTTAGGCTGTTGCTGGATATTTGCAGGACCTGGAACACTTTGTCGAGGGGCCGTTCGGTAGTTTGGAACCGAACGGACCAGGGCTGTGGAGGTCTCAGCGGTGTTCGCCTACTCGAGTGTCCGATTTGAGTTCCAGACACTCAACGGCAAAACACCGCTGTTCGGGAGTTTTAAAATGGCCGCCGCCACGTGTTCGTTTGTCGAATGGCGGCCACCCCCGAGAACAAAGGACGGCTACTTACTGTTCAATTACCCGTTCGCAACAATGTTGCAACGGGTAATTGAAGACACACTTCACACAGGGGAGGTCTAGTTGTTCGGTAGTTTCATTCGAATAAACTAAGGGAATGAAACTACCGAACAATCAAGGGAATATAATTCTTTTTAATACAGAGAAAATACAGCAGATACACGGATGCAGCTTTATACAGTATTTTTTGTAGGGTCGCCTGGTGCCATCCGCTACAGAACCAAATCCCTATAGTTCATAGATACCTGTTAAAACAAGGATTGGAAACCTTATATAGAGGATAGGAAAAGATAAAAGAAAATCTTTGCACAATGCATTTATTTCAAGATAAACTTTTATTACCTTGAAATATATTTATTGTGCTATGATTTTCTTTTATGGTTTCTTCCCCTATATGCATACGATTTTTGTGGAGGATTGGTTGAGAGTTATCTTGAAAGAGGCAGCATTTCAGCAGTATTTTCACATCTGAGCCATCACTTTAAGTTGTGTGTTATTATTTTTGGTGACACAATAATCATTCTATCTCTGGATGCGTATTTTAATAGTCCAAACTGTTTAGTTAACAAAAATCCCCTATCGCTGCTAGGGTTAATCATGTGACATTTCGTTAGTGCTTGCACCAGCCTCCAGCATTCCTCAGGTAAGGGCATATCTACTAAATGACGAGCAACCAGTGGATATAGATGGATTATAATACTGCATCTGTTTTTATGTGTTTTATGTTGTTTGTGTATTGCATTGGTTTATATGGGATTCTATTCTGCTGTTTTTGGGATAAAGAAATAAGATGAAGGACGTTCTGAAATTACCTGATATCCACAGTTGAGGACACGTGGCGAACCTGTGCTATATTGATTATCTGAAGTCTTTACTCCAACACCTCTAGAAACTGTTTTATGAACTTGTCCAGAACCAAAGAGATAGCATTAGCAGAACCAAGACACACATATCACAGCTTGTCTAACTTAGGTGGGCACCCATGCACTATTTTCTGCTTCAGGCTACTGTCTCATTACGGACAACCAAGGAGCTGGAAAATTAGTGTCTCTCAAGTTGATTGACAATAAATATATAAACAAACAAATCAGCATTTACATGCTAAATCAAAGCAGATAAATAGAGACTGCCCTGCTCACATAATTATATATTTTTTATATTTATTTTGGTTTCAATGGTATTTTTGTTGTTTTTTTACAGTGAGTGTTAGCTTTCTACTTAAGCCCCACCTCCTGTGATATATTCAAGTGCTGAACCCTGGAGCACACTCTGCACAGCAGCTGCATCAATGGAAATGTTCAACACTTTACTCTTTTATGTCTTTCTTTCATCAGTCTTTCTAAGTAAGTTATATGTTTTTACAATAATTAAAACAGTGAGGTATATTACATCCAGTCACTCGTGCCTGAATTAATTGATTTTATATATGAATATATCAATGTTTCAATCATGTTTTACTGCATATTATGTTTTTGGGGCAAATACATTCAAGTTCCTTCCAATAGATATATAATAGAACATATTTTTCTAGAGGCCTTAAATATAAATGTTTCATTATGAAAAGTCATATTTACTGATGCTCTTATTTTCAGGTTTTGTCTCAGGGGAGAAAGTTACCCAGTCACCCCCTGAAGTGACAAGTGGTGAAGGGACGCAGGCCATGTTCTTCTGTAGTACTGATGTGACAGCTTCTAGTATGTATTGGTACATACAGAAACCTGGGCAAGTACCTCGTCTTCTCTTTCGTGATTTCACCAAAGAAGAAGATCTAGATGAAGAAGTGAAAGGTCGCCTTTCCTACAAATATGACAGAACAAAAAATCAGTTTCCTCTGAATATTACCAAAGTGAGAATTGCCGATGCAGGGACTTATTACTGTGCCATGAATCCCACACTGTATAAAAAGCATAAAGAAGATGTACAATAACATTAGACAAACTGAAACAGTGTAACATTTGCTTTATACCATGAGATGGCAATGTTGTTCAATTGTGAATGCCAACAGGATGCCAAGAAAATATTAATAAAAATTCAGAAAATATTCTGTGATTTATTGTATATTTTTAAATACATTCTTTGTAAAATGATAAACTTTTTGATAATCAAACAGTAGGTCTCAAAAAGTAACAGCATCAACTGGAATGAAAACAACAAAGAATGTTGTATGAAGGTTTAGGAAGCTTTTGGGGAGCCACAGCCACAGATCCAGAAGGAGAGGCTGTTGGAGATTACATAAGTGTACACTCCTAAAATTACACCAGATTACTGTAATTGTATGACTGTTCTACTACAAGTGTATGAGAGAACCTCTATCTTTACACTCCTTCTACTATAAGTCTATCTAAGACTGACCACATGTCTAATGTCACAGTGTAGTCATCTACCAAACTAGTGCCATACCTTTCTATCTAAACACTGAAAAGGGGAGAGAGCATCCACCTTTCAATTATGTATAAAGGCTCACAAACTCTGGTTGTGCAACACTGGTGTAATATCCAGAAAGAACCTTGATTGTTGATTTTGGGTTGACAATAAAAGGGATCATGAAAACAAAAATGCTGGACATTTCCTTTCTATTACATAAGTTTCTTAATCTGTTTAGCACGCTTCCATACTTTGGGCATATACAAGGTTCTAGTGATTCATAACAATACCAAAGAATTACACCTATTGATAATTGAAACAAAAAACATGTTTGCATGCACACTGGGTGTATTTCGTTGATATTGTTTTGAATTACTAGTTTGAATTAAAGTGTTCGGGGAACACATTACTTTTATAAACAGTGTTCACATGTATTTATTATTTAGCATTATTTTTTTAAAGCTCCAACATACTTGTTTGATCTTATATGCAGGATCCCCTATAAAATCAGAAGCACATACATGTATCTCAAAATAAATGTTCATTTACATGTCTTGAAGTAGTTTTTTTGTGATATTCCAAATTTGAACAAATCCATGTGATTCAGGGACACTATTCAAACAAACCAAAAGAGCATTTAAATGACAAATATGTAATATTATGTATATATGGCAATTTGTATTTATTGAATCTAATCCTGGTCTATATTCAATTGACCTAATTTGGACTGTATTTAACTGAATGCTATTTTACCAATCAAATATGGTTCACATTTTGTCAGGATTCTCGCATTTGATAATTCTGTTACTTTTAATCATCCAGTTGTGAATTTAAAACTTTCTGTCCGGCTGATCTGTGGTTTATTGATTTATTTATTTTATATTTGTGGATTTTTAAATTTGATTTAGTGCCTGTCGCTTAACCATTAATCATCCCTTTTTCTGGCATCAGAAATGGAACTCCAAATCATGAATAAACCAAACCAGCTTGTCCATTGTCCAGCTCAGTTGCTTCGTAATTCGGTCATATGGAGATTTGGCCTTAAAGAATTCAGACGACCTAACAATCAATCAATATTCAGATTTATGTATATCATGTTTCAGAACACCTTATTGCATTAATGTTAATATCATCCATTATATAAGTTGCCACAATGAACATGGGTCACTTCCATGAGGGCCCCTAATTTAAAACCTGTGATTTACTGTAAATATCCCAATGTTCTGGATATCATCCATGATATAAGTTGCCACAATGAACACGGGTCACTTCCATGAGGGCCCCTAATTTTAAACCTGTGATTTACTGTAAATATCCCAATGTTCTGGATATCATCCATGGTATAAGTTTCCACAATGAACATGGGTCACTTCCATGAGGGCCCCTAAATGTAAACCTGTGATTTACTGTAAATATCCCAATGTTCTGGAAATTAGGGCAGTATCTCAAATACCTGCCACTTGGGACTATACCTTGGGACTAATCTTAGGTAGAACTAGAACATATATAACAGGAAACAATTGCCCTTGCCCTACTATAACTCTAAACTTTAGTGCCCTAGCACTTACACTAACCAAAATCCTAAACTTCTGCCGGAACACATGCACTGCTAATAACACTTAACCCTGAGTGTAACCCTAACTTTAACTCTAATGTACGTATGCCAACCTAAAAATATAACGCAGCTCACACTTTAAAGACCATTGCAAAGCTTTGCTATTTTAATGTGCCTAAGAATTTGGTATAGTTTGCAGGTAATTTTTTAATAAGTTTTATGCATTATGGCTGATAAAATCTGTAGCTTTTGTGGAGTCAGTAGTAGTCCTAGTTGTGATAGGAGCACTCGGGACTCTGACTCCCAAGTTGGGGGAGTGGCATCAACAGATTCCAGGTGGGACATCTGAGATCGCTGTCCAGAAGAGTGCAGTTCTAGGAACAGCTAAGATACTGCGCAGAACCCTCAGACTCCCAGGCCTCTGGTAGAGGACCTGAGAATGAGGAATAAACATACCACCCAGGAGGGGTGAGAAAATATTTTTTTAAATAAATGTTTACATATATGTAGCAGACTATGGGTAACCCGACTGGTTACCTCTGCTAAGTCCTTCCTTCAGCCACTCTGGAACCATTAACACAAGCAGATACCCATTCTCCCATTAACCAGACGAAACATAGCTCTGGGACTCAATTGAGTTTATTTAGACCACGCACGGCTTTTATGCACTGACCCCTACATGGGATCTCCAACACAATAAAACAGGGGTTTCAGTCCCAAGATCCTCTATGCCTTAGAGATAATTGCATGAGAAAACCTCTAATCTAATTATCTCTCAGGTACAGAAAATCCATACAAAATGCACAGTACCCCAAAAGTGTCCCCACCATACTCAGGAACCCCACAAAACGTACATACCCGTATAGCCCTGATCTGAGTGTATAACATATCTAAATATTAGGGATGTGCATGGGCCAAAAATTTGGTTCAGTTCGGTTCGTAAAGTCGGGTAAGTAAAAAAAAATCTGCACTTCGTCAATTCGCCAATTTATTTTAGCACTTCCGAAATTTGGAACTTCGGCAATCAAATCTTCGGCAATTCGGCACTTCAGCAATTTGGTTCGGTTCGGCACTTCTGAAATTTGGAACTTCAGCAATTCGGGACTTCTGCAATGCGGACAATTTGCCACTTTTCAGATATCCGAACCACTTTGCAACCACAACCACTTACACATCTGTAGGGCTTCCTAATCCTAACCCCTAACATTGCACTAACCCTTAACCCCTAACCCTAACCCCTAACTCAAACACTAACTCCTAAGCCTAATCCTAATCCTAACCCCTAACCTTAATCCTTAACCCTAACCACCACAACCATTTACACATATATAGGGCTCCCAGTGTCCGGACTGCCACCACAACCACTTACAGATCTATAAGGCTCCCAGTGACAGGAATTAGCTTAATTGTCAAGATTTCTGTCAGCATCCAGCTAATTTTCCCTCCCTCTCTTGTTTTGCCACTTTTCAGAAATCTGAAGCACTTCGGCACTTCCGAAATTCATCACTTCGGCAATTCGGAACTTCGACAATTCAGTTCAGTTCAGTTCAGCACTTCGGAAATTTGGACTTTGGCACTTCGGAAATTTGGCAATTCGGACATTCGTGAGCATCCAAATGTCCCAATTTCACAAAATTCGTCTGAATTTGCATTCAGAACTAAAAGAACTAAACATGTATACTAAATATTACTCAGATCGATTCGGTGAAACAGGAATACCATCAAGGTGAAGGTTTGACTTGCCAGACATGAGGCGCTAGCCCAAAACAGTTCCAGGAAAAGAGGTGCTCTGGCTGGTCTCTGTCCGTGGGTTTCCTGTGCGAACACAAAGCAAGGGATTCTCTTCATAACAGGATACGAATGCTCCCCTGTTCTGTATTTCATATATCTCAAACGTCGTTCATAAAGGTGGTCGGGAAATAGAACAGGCAGCGGTCTAGAGGTACTAAATACTAATATTTACACTTAATATTTGTACTTTAAATCTTTCTTTTCCTGTTTTCTTTTTTTAGTTGCTTTTTCTAATGACTACAGCTGAGCTGTAGTGGTTATGGTACCAGGAGCTCTCTGTCTGAACTAAGCCTTGCAATGTAGGACTAAGCTCCTGGGTTGAAACAATTAGCCGACACTTTCAGCCAATAAACTAGAGCTAATAGAAGCACCTGACTGGAGAGAGCAGGCACAGACCCCAATACAAAACAGTTTGACTATTTACAAAGGGGCAACACAAGGCACTACTGACACCATAACCATTGCAACACACTGTTTGGAGCGTTCCTTTAATATTTTTAAGAAATGCAGGTTTACATTGCATTTCTTGCATACATGAGTCTACTTGTTCTGTAATGGATATCTTTGTTATAGCAGTTCTGTTGTATAGTAGAATACATTTTATCTTCCCCTTACCATTTCGATAATATGTCAGTAAACCTGACTTCCTATCTATAAAATGTAAGCAGTTAAATAAATGATTCAACATCATATCTCTTTGAAACTACTTTCTAACCACATCTCTTTCTCAGGAAGTGACATGAATCTACTCTCTAGGTCTAGAATATAAAACAACCTGAGAGACAGCTATACTATACATACAAGTAAAGCTTAGATGCAGATATAATTTACCCAGTTTGTTTTCTTATTGGTATGTAATATTCTTCTTTACAGGAAAACACTATAATTTTTATTATAAAAAAATGAATTATTTATTTGCTGAATCTGATGTGATCATAGTTTTAACTTGGTTTATTGTATCCGCTGCCTGATAATTTGCTTATGTTTATTATATTATAGGTACTAACCAATGGACAGTCAGTTAACCAGACGTCTATACCTCAATCTTTATTCACAGAAGAGGCTGTGTTTTTGGAATGTACCTACATGTTATCAGTTACACCGTCTCTTTTCTGGTATTATCTATCTCCAGGAAAAGCCCCATCAATGTTAATCAATGGCTTAACACAAAAAGAGTACAAAGGATTTTCAGCTACCCATGATAGGAGCAAATCCACCTTCCACCTGAGAAAAGATCATGTTGAACTTGATGACTCTGGACTAGTGATGTCCCGAACGGTTCGCCGAACAGTTCGCTACGGATGGCGAACATATGCACTGTTCGGTCCGCCCCCTATGTCATCATTGAGTAAACTTTGACCCTGTACCGCACAGTCAGCAGACACATTCCAGCCAATCAGCAGCAGACCCTCCCTCCCAGACCCTCCCACCTCCTGGACAGCATCCATTTTACATTCATTGTGAAGCTGCATTCTTAGTGAGCTATCCAGGAGGTGGGAGGGTCTGGGAGGGAGGGTCTGCTGCTGATTGGCTGGAATGTGTCTGCTGACTGTGAGGTACAGGGTCAAAGTTTACTCAATGATGACATAGGGGGCGGACCGAACAGCGCATATGTTCGCCATCTGTGGCGAACCGTTCAGCGAACCGCTCGGTGAACCGTTCGGCGAACCGTTCGGGACATCACTACTCTGGACTGTATTTATGTGCAGTGAGTGACACAGTTATTACAGCACTTAAGTCTTCTGTCACATATCTCTGCACATGTGTCTTTTTCTTCAACATGAATGCTCTTTGGCTATGTTTTCAAAATCACTCACAATAATGTTATGCAACAAAAGCATAAAATAGGGCAGGATTGCACAGTTCACTTGTTCCTAGGCTGGAAATGGTACAATTTAGCATATCAGATAGGGGATAATATTTTGACTCACGCAACACACATTAATACATCCAAATATAGCCAAGGACATACCCAGCCCGTTTTCTGGCTTCAGTTCCAGTTCAGAGAGCTGCCAAGACTCACCTGGCATACCTGGCAGGGTATAAAGATAGAAATTTCACTCAGTTTGCCTGTGGTGCCAAATATAATTGAATTACATTCTAGAAGCACAGTTTAGAGATACAGGAATTAAAATGTCATATCCCTGCACTTCTTTCAATGGGCGAGTGGAGAGTCATGCAGGAAACTTGGCCAGGCAGGGAAAAAATAAAAATAGTGAGTTAGGCTCCTTCCCTCTGCACCAGTAAAAGAAAAAGTATCCTTTTTTTATAGTGTGTGTCTATGCATGTGTCTATGTGTCTCTGTGTTTGCATGTATGTGTGCCTATCTGTGAATGTAAGTGTCTTTATCAGTACATGTCCATCTGTGTGTGTTCCTGTGTTTGTATGCATTAGACATGTACAATTTGTTTTGTTTCGAATGCAAATTCGGACGAATTTCGGAAATTTGGACATTTGGATGCCGAATTTCGGAATTCCCGAACCGCCGAAGTGCTGAATTTCTGAAGTGCCAAAGTTCAGAATTTCGGAATGCCAAACCAAAAAGAATTTCCGAAGTGCCGAATTTCTGAAGTGCCAAAGTGCAGAATTTCAGAAGTGCAGAAGTGCTTTGGATTTCTGAAAAGTGGCAAAACAGGAGAGGGTTGGGGTTAGGGGTTGGGGTAGAGTTAGGAGTTAGGGTAGGGTTAGGGGTGGGGGTAGGGTTAGGGTTAGTGGTTGGAGTAGGGTTAGGGGTAGGGTTAGGGTAAGAGTAGGGTAACCCTAACCCTTTTCCTAACCCTACCCCTACTTTTAACCCTACCCTAACCCTACCCTAACCCTACCATAATCCTACTCCTAACCCTACCCCTCACCCTAACCCTACCACTAACCTTAACCCAATCCCTACCCTAACACAACCCCTAATCCTACCCTAACCCTACCCTAACTCTACCCCTAACCCTACCCCTACCCTAATACTACCCTTAACCCTACCCTAACCCTATCCTAACTCTACTCCTAACCCTACCATAACCCTACCCCTAAACTTACCATAATTTACCATAACCCTACCCCTAACCCTAACACAAGCCCTACTCTAACCCTACATCTAACCCTTCCCCTAACCCTACATCTTAACCTACCTCTAGCCCTACCTCTAACCTTACCCTAACCCTACCCCTAACCCTACCACTGGCCCTACCCTAACCCTACCTCTAACCCTACCCCTAACCCAACCCCTACACTAACATTACCCCTAACCCTACCCTAACCCTACCCTAACTCTACCCCTAAGTCCCGAATTTTGGAATGCCGAACCGAACTGAATATTTTATCCATGCACATCCCTAGTATGCATCTGCCTTTCTGTGTCAGTGTATAACTGTCTGTGTGTGCCGGTAAGAATCTGCCAGCATCGTCATTAAAAAAGTGCAGGGGTGTGACACCATGACTTACCACACAAGGCAAAACCAACCTCAAGACCTCACTGATAATATACATATGTAGGTTTCATTAGCATTAGAAGTAGATAGAAAGTCATGTGTCCAACACAATAAATATTTTTCTTAGTCCACGAAAGTCAATCTTCTTTTAGTGCCCTTTGTTTCAGTTTCTCATTTGTGCACTTAATTTAAATTTATGATTATTTCCAGCAGTGCTTGTTCATGTGTGTAAAATTTCCACATCACATGCAAAAATATTGCTGAGGGATAAAAAGTTGTTTTGGCATATGATGTGCTAACCATACTCAAGGCCTTCAGTCCACATGAGAGAACATGAATAGTGCTAGTACTGACTACCAATATTACCACATTGCCTGGCATTCATGTGCACTACACTGTCAATAATGAAGTTGTGATCATTCCCTGAATCAGAGGAGACCAGAGATTGCTGAACCACTGTGGCTCATTCTGTCACATTGTGTTCTACAAAGTAAAAGCCTTTCTCTTTCATGGAGTAAATACATTTAATTTTCAACTTACTCTTAAACTTTGAAGAGGCTATTGACTATAACATGTTATCTCCTAAAGGATCTGCAAATAATATATTGAAAAACAGGTAACCAATGCACTTTTCTAATGCATCTAGAGCATGGGTCGTCAGCCTGGTCCCTAGCGCCCACCAGTGGGCATTTAGGATTCTAGGTAGGCGGTAGCAGAATCCTCCCTCCATTCAAAGAGATGAACGCTCTACTCATCTCTCGCGCACTCAGTGGTAAGCAGGAAGTGTGAGGTTGGAGAGGCAAGTGCATGAAAGCAGGAGCATGTGTGCCTGAACGCGCATGTGCGCCCATATCGCGCGCGGGTACGCACGTATGAACGCGTCGCTCATGAACGAGTGCAAAACACGGGTAGAGGAATGGGAGGAGTTGGAGTAGGTCGGGGGATACACGATAGCAGGGAGTGGAGTACTTGTAGAATAGGAGAAAGAAGGAGCAGAGTGCTTGTAAAAAAGGAGAAAGAAGGAGCAGAGTACTTGTAGAATAGGAGAAAGAAGGAGTAGAATACTTGTAAAAAAGGAGAAAGAAGGAGCAGAGTCCGGTAGAATAGGAGAAAGAAGGAAAATAAAAAAAATATAAAAAGGAAAAGGAGATAATTGTTGTTGGCTAATAATAATAAGTGGGCTACCTAGCTCAGCCTTCCTGCTGGGCATTGCTATAGGGAAGGTAAAAAAATAGAAAAAAGGAAAGAAAAAAGGAAAAAAAAAAGGGGCGGGGGGAGGGAATTGAGGAGGGAGAGGAGCTGATGCAAGGATGAGAAATCATATTATGAGCAAACAGAGAAATCATCTGAATATCACCGAAAGAGATATTATTTGTTCCTTACGAAAATCGAACCAGATATCAAATATTTAGTCTCGCAGCATCAGCCTCAAGGATCTCATTAATCACTAGTAAAGATAATTTCCATTTACTTTATTGTTTTCTCATTAAACTTTATAAAGTTAAAAATGTTCTAAACATGCATAAAGTAGAAATAAAAAGATAAATGTACGTACATTTTTTATTTTTTTTAAAAACACCCTCCTTTCTAAAAAATATTCTGCACTTGCGTGAAAACTGGTGGGTGGTAAGGACATTTTTCAATCAAGAAAGATGCATTAGTGGGCGGTAGTTAGAAAAAGGTTGACTACCTCTGATCTAGAGCATAAATGCAATTACTGCGCCTTGTCTGCAGACAGCACCAATATCACTTCTGGAATATTCACTGTGTCATGCAAGATGCCCTCTCTCATTGGAATTATTAACCATTATTATATATATGTGTATTTAAATAGGTATACATTAAAAATAATTTAAAATAATGGGTACTAATATGTAGAATTTAATACTGACAGTAACATATGACATATATGAATCCTCTAAGCCATGAGCTTCCTGGCACATTCAATGATTTGAGGGACTCTTGTAAAAACTTTTGCTTGTAAAGAGGTTTTTACATTTAATAAAACGTAATGTTTATATACTGTTTATACATCAAAACGTAATGTGCATATAATGTTTATATCTATAAACAGTATATACACATTATGTTTTATTAAATGTAAAAATATATATATGTGTGTGTGTTTAAACGACGTATGTTGATTTTTAAGAAAATGTCCCTATTTTAACTGGCTGAGCATCCATGTTGGGTCAGAGTCTACGTCGCAAATGCCGCACATGCATTAGGACTTATACCATGCTTTCCTATGAAGTTTTGGGTGATGCTGGAAGTTCTCTTGCATAGCGTGAGGTTGTCCAGCGTCAGTTAGTTGACCAAAAGTTGCCTAACCACTCAGAAGTACCAAAAGTGGTGGACAGCCACTAGAGATGCAGTTAACCCTGATAGGTAGTTATTGCAGTTTTTCAAAAACTGCAATAATTACCTTTGCAGGGTTAAGGGACCTTGGACACTGCACCCAGACCACTTCAATGAGCTAAAGTGGTCTGGGTGCTTATAGTATCCCTTTAAATATTTTTTTATTTTTCAATTCCATTTATAGATTATAATTATATGATCTGTTGCTTCTTTGTTGTTTTGTTTTTTGCATGTATTTCTCTTGAAATAAAATATCTAGGTTTTTAGGTCACACTTTACATCATAGACGTCATTTCCGCTGGGTTCCAAACACATAGTTTAGCTCAAATCAGCTATGCGTAAAATCACAATCTCATGATCAGCTGAGCTCATTACTGCAGACAATGTTTTTCTTCTTTTGCCTCTCAACTCTGTTTTTGTGTAAGTTTCCTCCGTTTTCCAGATTCTTCTCATTTTACAAAAGTATTTGCAGTTTTATTGCCGTTTCAATGCTCTAGGTCATTATTCAGCAAAACTGATTAGCTGAGACAGTTTGTAGGAGTATAGCTATTTTTTGCAAAGCATATTTGTTAGTAGTAATAACAGTTTACCATATATTTTTGTTGTTTGCTACTGTATTTTATTTTTGTTCTTCAGATGCAGAAAGTAACTCCCAGCTGCAGCAGCCGGCAGAAGTAACCTCTCTGGAAGGACAGAATGCAGCAATCTCATGTAACCACACCATCTCCACTTATGACAGACTGTACTGGTATAAAGAACATGATGTTAAGGGACTGGAGCTAATCATATCTGGCTATAGAACTACAGAATATAATGGACCATTCAGTTTGGTGTTCAGTACAGATAAGCTCTCTGCAACACTTCACATCAAGGATGTACAGATTGCCCAAACTGGGACGTATCATTGTGCTGTGAGAGACACAGTGACTAGAGGCAACAGCATGAATGGCATAAAACCTACCACACTCAGTATGTCATATCCTCATTGCTATGCAGCGGTTTAACATATATATATATATATATATATATATATATATATATATATACAAATGTATGAAATAGCTTGCACTCACGGACTTTGCACCCGGCCCTTATATATTGAATACAGCCTGAGTGCAAGGATATCAGTTTTCTTTATATATATATATATATATATATATATATGTATATATATATATATATATATATATATGTGTCTAAAGAATATATAATAGATTTCCAGATTTTACTGAATATTAATTGTCCCTACTTTGAGACTGGTGAGGTTAGGGTACTACTGTGCCCAGTCTCTACCAATGCCACATGCATCAACTTTGATAAACTGATTTATATCAGATTATTTTACTGATTTATGTTCGTGTTGTTTTTACTTTTTGTGAGAGACAGATTATTTGATTTGCAGTGTGCTTGAGTGCCAATACCAGTGCTTTGCTTACTGTACAAGTAAACATAGATCATGGATATATTTGTAGAAATATTTATTTGTAGAAATAAAATCTTTTTCTTAGTGCATTCAATGTTTTGCAGCAGCAGTAGAGTTACAGACAGGGTACAGCATCCTTGAAAATTCAGTTTTAAAGCCATTGTTCTTTAGCTGTGTGCAGTACAAGCATGAAATCATTGTGCAGTGAATTGTGTGCTGTATGTGTTTTAAGGTCAAACACAATAACTCTACAGTAGTAGTAAATATACCAATCAGCAAACCGTTTTCAACACAGAAATCTATTTTGGCTTAAAAACTTGTGTTTGTTTACACTATAGTAGAGACTTACTGGTCACCACACTCACCAAATAACCCAGGTGCTCTGAAGCAAGAGCTGGCCAGGCCTCCCTTTCCAAGATATGCAGAAAAAAATAATGGTTCGGGCACTCCAGGATGACAAAAATAGCAGCTTTATTTGGGCAAAAGCAGCAACGTTTAGACCCTACCGGGTCTTTATCAAGCTTGATAAAGATCAAGTAGGGTCCAAACGTTGCTGCTTTTGCCCAAATAAAGCTGCTATTTTTGTTATCCTGGAGTGCCTGAACCGTTATTTATTCTGCATATCTTAGTTTATACTATACACATTTATATCAAAATTTAAATAATTAAAACAAACCCATCTATCATTAATGTGATAAAATAAATAAGAAAAAATTGGGTTGTGCTTCCCAAACCACCAACAGAATTAGAAGTGCCATGGTACCTCTGTGTTTTAACTCCTCCCCTTCTTCAGAGGTTGTTGGACATAACATCATAGTTCATTAGTATGTCATAATAACAGAAATCCCATTTCACACACATTTTCATATTCTATGTTGTTTACTTGCTTTGACCTCAACAGACTCCACTGCAATGTTGAAGGTCCCTCTGACCCCATGAACTCCCTGCATGCTTTCCTTCCAAGGTGCATAGCACACTGGATGACATTGCCCTCCACCTGTACTCTGGTGTATTTGCCTCCTGGCACATCTTCAGCTCTATCCTCTCATAACCGATGCACATACTTTGTCACTAGTTTGGGTTCTGCAAGGATCTCATTCTTTTTCCTTCTTCTCTTGCTGTGAGCCCATAACAGACAAAGGCTCAGCTGCCTCTTTCTCTGCCTCTGGACCCTTGTTGCTATCTCCCTGTCTAATGGCCTCCTCCCCCATTCTGCCTAAATACAAGCTACCCCACTCTCCCTGCTTTTTACTGACATGTCTTGGGGTGGTCACTACCTGTTTCTTCACTCACCCCAACACAGCCCCTTCCAATGCCTTCTACTACCCGTCTCTTGACCTTATTCTTTTCAACCCCCACTTCTTTCTGACTACTCTTCTCTCTTCTCTACGCTAACCTTTCCCTCCTTTTCACCCCTCATTTCCTTATTTATCCCACGCCTCCCTCCAATTCCACCACCCTCTCCTCCCTCCTATTTAAATATCATACATTCTAAGAATGATTCTAGTTCAAGACTGCAGAGCACTGTGATCATGTGCCACAAGGCCAAGAACAATCTCATACAGTGATGGATTAGCAAAAACCCTGCAGAATTCCTACCTGCTTTCTCAGTCCTTCGTTGCTATGCTGATAGACAATCCGAGTACACCTCTAATTGCTTTTCATAAGAAGATTAGTGTTGCAAGGCGGCAGCCTAAAACCACAATATGTTAGAGACCTGATGGGGCATTTAAGAGGCATAACTAAAAACTACCATGCCCTGGTGCAAAAATTGCCCTTGAGCATGTGTCTCATCCCCTCACCTAGCCCATCCATGTGTCTCATTCCTCCCCCTTAGCTCCTCTAAGTGTTTCATTCACCCCAGTCCCTCCACGTGGCTCATTTACCCCCCAGTCCCTCCATGTGTCTCATTTCTCCCCAGTCCCTCCATGTGTCTCATTCTCCCCCAGTCCCTTCATATGTCTCATTCTCCCCCAGCCCCTCTATGTGTCTCTCCCACATCAGCCCCTCCATGTGTCTCCCCCCCATCCCCCACATGTCTCAATCCCCTCCAGTCCCTCCATGTGTCTCTCCCCATCCCCTTATATGTCTCATTCCACTTCAGTCCCTCCACCTGTCTCATGGGAGTAGTGTGTGTAAGGGTGCAGTGTGTGTGTGCGTGAAGAGTGCAGTGTGTTTGTGTGCGAGGTGTATACTTTGTGTGTGTGTGAGGGGTGTAATGTGTGTGTAGAAGCACAGTGTGTGTGTGTGTGTAGGGATGCAGTGTGCGTTTGAGGGGTATAGTGTGTAAGTGAGAGGTTTAGTGTGTGGGGGGGTGAAATGTGTGCTTAAGAGGTGCAATGTGTGTGTGGGGGGTGCAATGAGTGTGAGTGGTGCAGTGTGTTTTTAAAGGGGTGTAGTGTGTGTGTGTGAGGGTTGCAATGTGTGTGTGAGGGGTGTAGTGTGTGAGATTGGTGCAATGTGTGTGTGAGGGGTGTCGTGTGTGTTAGGTGTAGTGTGTGTGTGTCTGAAGGGTGAAGTGTGTGAGGGGTGTAGTGTGTGTGTGTGTGTGTCTGTATGTGAGGTGTAGTGTGTGTGAGTGGGGCGGCAGTGTGTGTGTGGCGGTGTGATAAAGGAGAATAATTATAGTTAATTATTATGTTAAGAAAATAAATAAATAAATAAAAGTTTTATATCCCTCTCCTTTCCTCTTACCTTTTGTCAGGGAGGGGCGTAGTCAATCCCTGCAAGCCATGGTGGTCCATTGTAGTGAGGGAAGTTTGGCCTGCAGCTCCTCCAGCTGCAGATTGCCTTTACTTCTCTCCGTGAGCAGGCATGTTGGAGCATTGCCATGGTAACACACGACAATGCTCAACACTCTGACCTCCCTGCTCGGGTGAGGATCAATCTTTTCTTCCCTCTGCCCTTACAAAGTGCCCATGTGTCTCATTCCCACACTGACCAAATAACCCAGGTGCTCTGAAGCAAGAGATGGCCAGGCCTCCCTTTCCAAGATATGCAGAATAAATAACGGTTCAGGCACTCCAGGATAACAAAAATATGTATCATTCTTCCCCCCCACTCCCTCCATGTGTTGCATTCCCCCCCTAGTCCCTTCACGTGTCTCATTCTCCCCCAGCCCCTCAATGTGTCTCATTCCACCATCAGCTCTTCACGTGTCTCTCGCCCAAATGTCTAAATCTCCTCCCAGCCCCTCCATGTGTCTCTCCCTAACTACCCATATGTCTCATTTTCCACCAGCCAATCCATCTGTCTTATTACTCCATGTGCCTCATTCACCCCAGCCCCTCTATGTCTCTCTCCCAGCCCCTCCACATGTTTTATCCCCCCTTAGCCCAACCATGGTTTCTTTCCCCCCAGACCCTCCATATGTCTAATTTCCCATCAGTCCCTCCATGTGTCTCATTCCCCATACCTCAATGTGTCTCTTTCCCTCCAGACCCTCAATGTGTCTCTCCCTCTCCAGTCTCTCCATGTGTCTCTGCCATCCCCCTAGCCCTTCAATGTGTCTCTTCCACCACCTGAGCCATTCCATGTGTCTCACCCCATAACCCTTTCCAATTGTACATGCTGACTCCATGGCTTAGCTGACCGTGGCACCCCTTAGTGAGTACTTCCTGAAAGACTGTGGCCTGCTCAGCCATGCAACTTACAAAGAGGGAAGCAGTGTGCTGTATGCTACCCCCATTGCTGGTCATCCTGCCACCGTATTCCCTCTGCCGATGTGGTAAAGCACCGGCATTGAAGCTATGCTGTACCATGGTCGAAGGGTTCGGCGTGGTGGCCAGGCCCCCTAGAGTGATTGACCGATCGCAGCTGTGACTCCTGTGACAGTGGTAGTCATGCCACTGGGGCAATGGAATAACAGCAATTTGGGGCAAAGATCTAAAAGTGGCACAATCACCATGGAAACCAAAGACATAACTCTGCTAATCTCTCTGCATGGAAACCAAAGACATAACTCTGCTAATAACTTTGCTCTGGAATTGTTCTTTATTCAAAACCTTCAATGTGTTTAAACACTATTCAGTTTGTTGTTGTTTTTTATTTGTAGAGTTTCCTTATATTATTGTTTTGTAACAGAATCACTATCAAACACTTGATGGCGCAAGAATACCAATAAATACAAAAAGGCAGCTTTAAAGATGGCTTACATAAAATAACCTGGTGAAATAAATAAGTATTGTTATTTTGTGATTTTGTCATGGACACAATTGAGTCTGTTTAGAAATTGGAGGAAGTTGGAAAACAACACAGTTTATAGCCTGTAAACTGAATAAAAATAAAAAAAGATATACTTAGTGCTTTTTATTGGATCCATCTGAAGGTATGGGATAAATGAATCACGGCATGCACTATTCAAAAAGCAGTGATGCTCTAAAGAAGAGTCCTTTTCTATCATTAGTATAAAAAATAATAAGTGGCTCTAACTGATCAAAGCAATATTTTTTGTGGCGCTTGGATATAAATTAAGAACATTATTTTTAGTAGAATCCACTGTCTTCTGATCGTTTCATATATTTTCCAGTGACTCTACATATTTAACTGTTTAATTGTTAGTTTTGCTGTATAGGATAAAAA